CCGTTACCGTTCGTTACGGTACGTACGTACGTACGTACGTACGTACGTACGTACGTACGTACGTACGTCGTCGTTCGTCGTGTCGTCGTCTCTCTCTCTCTCTCTCTCTCTCTCTCTCTCTCTCTCTCTCTCTCTCTCTCTCTCTCTCTCTCTCTCGTTTTTAAGCGTGAATAGGGTCCTGACTTCATTGTAGTCGATGTGCTTGAGTCTTATCTGAAACTTGTGCTTGTTCAGTCTAATAGAATCGGAAGTAGTGAGATGTAGAGTCATAGTGATTTGAACAAGTTGTTTGAAAGTGTTTACTGTATCTTTTTTATATTTCAAAATTATCAAAATTTCCATTACTGTGTTGGATGAACTCCCTGTGTGATCTTCCATAGCAACGCAAATAATCTTATCATTCCCTAGAGCATTGAATAAGAACAATTTATTCTTGTACATTATAAAACTCCTTTCAGTATTATTATTTTTGCCTATTTTACGAATACTCTCATTTTTAAGTATTCTTTTTACTATAATCTTTTCCTTGATGCCTTCAATTTTACATTTGGAATATGCATGCAGATTGTTACTTCACGTTGAAGGCATGGAACGCACAGAAAGCAGGGGCAGCTGCTATCTTGGTCGCCGATGATAAGATCGAACCTTTAATAACAATGGACACTCCTGAAGAAGAGAATTCGAAGGCAGATTATTTACAGAACATTACTATCCCCTCTGCCCTTATCAGCAAAAGCTTTGGAGATAGCATTAAGAAAGCCTTAGCCAATGGTGACATGGTTAATATTAACTTGGATTGGAGGGAGTCTCTTCCCCACCCTGATGAGCGTGTGGAATATGAGTTCTGGACAAACAGTAATGATGAATGTGGTCCCAAATGTGATACGCAAATTGAGTTCATAAAAAACTTTAAAGGAGCAGCACAAATACTTGAGAAGGGGGGATATACTCAATTTACTCCTCATTATATTACCTGGTATTGCCCCGAAGCTTTTATCCTGAGCAAGCAATGTAAATCTCAGTGCATCAACCATGGGAGATATTGTGCTCCTGACCCGGAGCAGGATTTCACTAAAGGGTATGATGGGAAAGATGTCGTGGTTCAGAATTTGAGGCAGGCTTGTTTGTATAAAGTTGCCCATCAAAATAAGAAACCGTGGCTATGGTGGGACTATGTGACTGATTTTTCGATCAGATGCCCGATGAAAGAGCAGAAATATGGCAAGGAATGTGCTGATAAAGTGATAGCATCTCTAGGTTGGTCAAAAGGGCCCTTGTCTGGATTTTGTTTTTTGTGCATTTTTAATGGTTCTTTCTTATGATTCATGGAGAAGATAATTCCTTTTTGCTGTGTGATTTGCCTCTTAATTATGCAGTTTAATGACTTTTGGAGTTCGTTTTCTTGGCAGGTATTGATGTTAAGGAGATCGATAAGTGTATAGGCGATACTGAAGCTGATGTTGAGAATCCTGTACTTAAAGCAGAACAAGATTCACAGGTCTGCATTAAACTTTGTGGTGCTTCTCTCTCTTATTAGAGCTGCATTTATATACCACAGAGATTTCTGTGATGCTGCCCCTGAATGCTGTAGGTCAAATATTACATTTAAGTTGTAAGTCAAATGAGAGAATAGAACTTTAGACATGGAAATTGTTTGTAGAAAGATCTTAAATAATTACTAGAGAAGTCTTGACATAAGATCATACGTTACAGAGGTTATTTTCATTCATTTTGAACCGAATTTAAATGTGCCTATCCATATTCATCAAGTCTATGCTTTATTCTCTTCCTTATATGTGTTACCATATATTCTTGGTGTTGAAGATGAATATTAACGATAGTTGTTTCTATATGAGAAGCATAAGGCAGGAATGACCCTGGCTGAAATTCTTCCTCTAGGCTCAATTACTGCGGAATTTCTCTCTCCCACCACCTGGTTTTTGCTAGATATTTTTACCAAAAATAAGCCTGAACTTGAAAGCCCACACAACTCCATTTTCTATCCCTTTCCCTTTGAACACACGTCTTTTGGACTAGAGCAATGATTCATTCAATTTATTCTCATTTGGATTTACTCTAGGGGGTGGCATCGTGTATTTGTTCTCAGTTATTTGTTATGGAATTGGAGTGATGCATGATCATCATTATGCTTGCCAGCTGTTTCTTCCACTTTAATTACAAGGAGGATACTATCGAAGATGGGAGTTCTTTTAAGGGAAAATATCCTATTATCCCTAATTTTTAACTTTTATATCTCATTAGACCCAAAAATTGAAAATATTACTTGTAAGCAAAAAGACTCCATCTTTTCTATCTTCCAACCCCTTAAACCCTTTTGACCATGTATTATTGATCTCAACAACTTATGAAATGACTCTATCTCTCTCTCTAAAACTCCATCTCTCTCACATCATCGTCTCTCTCTCAAAACTCCATCTCTCTCTAAAACCCAAACTCCATCTCTCTATCACATCATCATCTCTCTCTCTCAAAACTCCATCTCTCTCTCAAAACTCCATCTCTCTCTCTAAAACTCAAACTTCATCTCTCTCTCTAAAACTCCATCTCTCTCTAAAACTCAAACTCTATCTCTCTGTCTCTAAAACTCCATCTCTCTCTCACGCATAAGAAGGTGTGCTCGTGCAAGCTCAAGCTAAACCCCTTGGCTGATAAACTCATCGAGAAGCGAAGAGAGGGAGATGGAGTTTTAGAGGGAGAGAGATGGAGTTTGAATAGGGTATCATTTTAGTGTTTGTTTGGGTAAACAATTTATGGTCAAAGTGGTCCAGGGGGTTGTAAGATAGAAAAGATGAAGACGTTTTTGTTTATAAGTAATATTTTCAATTCTTGGGTCTCATGAGATATGGAAGTTAAAAATAGGGGATAAGGAGATAGTTTCCCTTCTTTTAATTATTGTAATTTACTGTTGAAGGTAATTTTGTAAGGAAACTATTGAAGAATATAGAGAGTGGTCTCATCGGATTCAACTCTTAAAATTTATTAATCCACGAATTTTAGTGCTATGGATTACAACATTGCTGGTGCTTCTCTTTGAACCTTTCCAGTTTTCTTAACTTCAATATTCTTTTTCTCAGATTGGGCATGGTGCTCGCGGAGATGTGACCATTTTGCCAACACTTGTGATTAATGAGAGACAATATAGAGGTCAGGAACTATTTCTTCCCTCCCTTGTTCGTTTCAAATTTGATGCCTCTCCATAAAACGAAAACGTTTGATATCAATATGTGTATTAATTAAACCTGAAGTTCATATGTTTCAAATCATTATTGAACCTAGAAGTTCATGAATGTTTGGGTTGGCTTCAGGCAAGTTGGACAAAGGTGCTGTTCTAAAAGCAATTTGCGCTGGTTTCCAGGAGACAACAGAACCGTCGGTTTGTTTGAGTGATGGTAATTACAAGTCTTTCTTTCAATTTCTTTTTCCTTTTTCAGGGGCCTAGAAGTGGAGGCGTAAAATTTTGGCATGGAGCTAAGCATTTTTTACAATTTCATTGAACTTTATTTAAGAAATATGAATTAGTGAAACCACATGAAATGTCTTTGCCAATCATTTAATATCAATGCTTTTATTGGAGCTTACATATACATCATCATATCCAGAAATTGAGACGAATGAATGCTTGGAGAACAATGGTGGTTGTTGGCAAGATAAGGCTGCTAATGTTACTGCTTGCAAGGTATGCTCAACCTTTCAAACTTGTATCTGATATATATGAACGCACACACACACACACAGAATGCACACTTTTCATGCAATACACATGGTCATTTTGCTACCACGAAAACAACTAACATCAATATGTTTACAAAGAAGGTTTCTGACAAAATGTAATTGTGAGAAATAATTATATGAATAACTGGGCTTAAGTGGGTTGATATAAAGGTACACAAGAGCAGGAAAATGGAAAAGCAAACCATGGTAAGAATAGCGTCTTGGTCCCCTATGTTGGGCCTCATAGAAAAAGCCAAAGCCTCTGGCCAAGGCTATACACTTGCCTGCATGTACACATGTCTTGTCACTTGCCTGTGTGCACACGTGTGTTTTTTGCTGGTCATATTCTTTTGTGGCGCAAAATCTGCTAAACTGATCAAGGTTTATCTATGTAGACTGTCTCTGACCAAAAGGCCACTTGCCTTAAGTACACGTGAAGCTCTATTTGTCTGGTCATCTTTTATCATCCTCTCATTAATGCCTTGTTTGTCAACATGCTCACCTCATTCTTAATTTTTGCTGTCAGCTTGGGTTTTGTTCATCTTCAATGTGTCTGCTCTATACTATTACTGCTCCCGGAATTGCCTATAATCCTAACCTGTGAATCCTAGGGAATCCTCTAGGTATCAAGTATAACCACCATTCTATCCTTTGAGGGTCCTCGTGTAACAAATAATGGCGCTTGGCCACTGTAATGAATTGACCCTAACTCTTCGTCTCCAGTTTGAGTCTTCCAATTTTTTGTCCTATGCCATGCTCTGCTATTTTCAGTGAACTCCAGTTGTTGAGGATGAGTTGAGTCTTTTATCTCAAGCAGCGGAGAAAATATGAGATTGGAAATGTCTCAATTGTCATTATCAACAACTCTCCCTGAAGAGCCTACATGTGATTATGGACAGTTTTTGACTACTCGGTCCGAGTGCCGAGTAGTCGGGCCAAGTACTCGGGCCCGGCACCCTGGCGAGCCTGAGTTATGGGTGTTCCAATAGGGGATATTAAAAAAATCATAAAAAATACCAAAAAAATAAGGAATTTATTTGTGATTCTTTATTTTCATTTATGTTTTCTAGCAGTCACAAGTTGATTTTAGAAATCTATCTTTTACTACTTTTTTTACCTCATTTTGAAGTGTTTTGCTTAATCTTACTTTAAACATACATTTCCTAATTTTTTTAATGTTTTTGTATTTTTTTATAATTTTTTAACCGTTTTTTTTTCTGCTACAGTACTCGGCACTACTCGGACTCTGCCTGAGTACCCGGCTCGTGCCTGGACCGAGTACTCGGCCCCAGTCTACCTTTCTAACACTGATCATGGATAAACTGGGAATTTTTGCCTTTCTTTATGGAGTGCTAAATGTGGGGAGTGCACCTGAGTCTTGTGAATTCAAATATTTGATGCTTAACTATTATTTCAATTGTCTTATCCATAATCAATACCCAGTAGTTCTTTTCCATAATACATCAATCAAGTTGGATGTCAAGGCACCAACATCAACCCTCTGCATAGAATTGGAGCTCTTTGGTTTTGTCCACCCTATGGCATGGAAAACAAGAGGAAAAATTTAATCAAGTGACTGCTTCATGTCTTAGAAATTCTGATGAGTCAACTCAGTAACTTGAGTGAAGTTTTTGAAGATGGAAAACTGACTAATTATCATTGAAAAAATCACACCATGTCCATAGCATACCTTCATATAAGATAAGACTGGTGTATGCACGTACATGCATACATAATACTAGTGGTGTATAGAAACACACGTTTGTGAACCTTTGTTAGTGGTGTCCATTTCCGTGTAGCCTTTGATGTCTTTGTTGTTGTCTTGCAGGACACTTTCCGTGGAAGAGTTTGCGAGTGTCCAATTGTACGTGGTGTAAAGTTTGTGGGAGATGGCTATACCCATTGCGAAGGTATGTTTGTTTCTTCATCTTTCACTTTTCTTCTCTTTGCCTTGCCAGGCTTTTTCCCTTTTCTTCAGGTAAGGAATTTGGTTTATGTACAAATAATTGTTTATCTTATTGAAAAGAAATGTCACTGTTTAGAATTTGATTTGTCTTGGTCCAAAATTGAGTGAAGTTTCAAATGTCCTCATATATATTATAATTTATTCATCCATGGTCCAGTTGTAACCACCTTCATATGATGCTGAACTTTTATGATCCTTTCTGTTTTCATTTAGCAAGACGAAAGAGAAAAAAGTCATCTGAGCTTTAGCTGCCTCCTAGAGATTGTCTTGTGTGATTTGGGGTACGCTGCCTTCTTGCTGGACACCTTTGTCCATAGTGCGGATGCTTATACCCACTTCCCATTTTGGACAATGTGAATAGGTTCCCATAGGACAATCAATTGTAAAGCTTTTTCTACTTGATAATGATAAAAATGAATATTTGATTTATATAAATCATGAAAAATGGATCCTGAAAAGTGGGGCTTGGGTGTCTCATTTAATGTTTGATAATCTTTTAGCTGCAGTAACAATTTATAGCTGTTTCGAACATTGCTTTTATAGTTAGAAAGAGGATATTGGTTACCATTATATTATTGTGAGCAGCCCTCTAATAAGAAAGGCTTTTCTCTCCTCTTTTTTCTTTTTATGTATGCGTATATTCTTTGTCTACAGTTTCAGGAGCTGCACGCTGTGCAATTAACAATGGAGGCTGTTGGGAGAAAACCCATGATAGCAGGACATACTCTGCTTGCATTGTAAGAAGCTCATCTTTTTTCCCTCTGATAAAAGAAGAATTCTGTTAATTCGGTTCTTTTTTGTTTCCCTATTTTCTTTTTGTTTGATATGCATGGATTGATTACTGTTGTAATTGACTTTACAGGAGAATGAATCTAAGGGTTGCAAATGTCCTCCTGGCTTTAAGGGTAATGGAGTGGATTCTTGTGAAGGTACAACATTAAATCACCTCTTTTATACTACCCAAAGAGATTATACCAAACACTTTCCATGTATGATATGTGGTATTACACATCTGATATATTCAGTAACCATTCTCAAGATGGAGAGTGGAGGTGATCCTTGCGACATCTGGAGGATGATGACTTTTCAATCTGAAACTATGGTTCATCTCCACTATCTCTCGAGAACGAATGTTGGATTACCTGCCTAATTATTGTATACCTTAGTTGGGGATCCTGTGGGTACTATGACACACTTCTCCTTCCTATCTACACAGGAAAAAAAGCAAAAGACAAAAAAAAAAGGAGATATTGTGCAAGTAAAATTGTGTCTAGAACTTTGTAGGTTCGTATCTTGTTGGTATATCAAGTAAAATTGTGTATAGAATTTTGTAGGTTCATATATTGTCAGTATATCCGATCTGGGTTTGTACTTTTCCTGCCTATATGGGTATATCCAAAATTTAGTGGCGATTCACTCATAAATTGGGAGCATTGTTTTAGATGTGGATGAGTGCAAAGAGAAGCTCGCCTGCCAATGCCCAGAATGCAAGTGCAAGAACACATTTGGAAGTTATGAGTGCAACTGCAATGGCGATCTATTGTACATGAGAGAGCATGACACTTGTATAAGTAAGTTATAGTCTTAAATTCTTTGCTGTTTTTCTCTTTTGATTGGTAAGTTTGGAGTATACACGTGATAGCAGAATGCCTATTTTTTTTATTTTTCAATTATTTTTCTTTTTATTTTAACTTGGGACCTGGTCAAAATGGAACTCTAGATGCAAGATGTGGCATGTATGTATACAGGCATGTATTTGGAGGTATATATGTATGCATGTATTTCCTGTGTATCTATATATGCAATGTATATGTGTGTATATATGCAATGTATATGTGTGTGCTTGTGTATGTAGGTAGGTAGGTAGGTGGATAGAGAGCAGTCGTATATACATATGTGTGCATGCATATTTCCAATTTTATAACGGGAAACTCTTAAATAGTGGAAGATACTTATACAGGTAAGAAGGCTACGACAGAGGTCGGATGGAACTTTGTATGGGTCATTTTCCTTGGCTTGGCAGCGGCTGGCATTGGAGGTTACGCGATTTATAAATACAGAATCCGGGTATGCCAATCCTTTATCAAAATTTATGAATATTGATTTGGTTACAAGGAAGTGTTTTCTGGTTATGCAAGAATTCTTTTACAGTCCTCGTAGTAATGCAATGAATACAGTAGCTTATGCATAAACGCATGAGACGCAAATGTGTGTGTATTGCATACATTTGTACATGCATATCTTCATGTTACATAAGTATTGTATGTGTAATACATACATTTGTATAAGCATATCTTCATCATTGTTAGAAAAACCGGGCGATCTAACCTGTAATTGCCTGGTTAGATCAGAATCGGCTCTTTGCCGGTTCCAGTTTTGGGCAGTTTTGGTGATTGGCCGGTATTTTAAAAATAAAAATTCAAAAAATGTATATATAATCCCAAAAATAAAGAATTTGATTTGTAATGCATTTTTGTAATATTTTTTACATTATGGTAAATATTAAAAATTGTTTTGGTCATTAGTATTCACTTTTAAAATCCATTTTTTTCATTAATTTTCTACTTCATTTGAATACGTTTTGTTTTAATCATTAATTTATATGCTTTTCATATTTTAGTAGTTTTTTTTTGCATCTTTTTTATTTTTTTCAACAAATTTTTGGTTGCCCCGGACTTGCCCGGTTAGAATGGTTGAATCGGCCGGTTTACCGGTTAGGTCGGTTAAACCGCTTCTGGCCCCATGGCCGGTTAACCGTTCCGGTTTGATTTTGTGAACACTGAACTTCATGTATCCTGCATCCTTAGGATACACGTACATGCATGCAAACATGCATATCTACATGCCTTTGTACATCCAATCATACATGTTGACATGGAACAATTACAGCCAGTGTTGAAAAACTACACGAGTCTGACTAGGACTCACCCGAGTTACTGGGGCTAGCTGCTGAGCCACGAACCAAACACAAAGGAACCGGCCACTTGGCCTGGTTACCAATATAGTATTATTTCTTTCCTTTGGATCTGGCCGAGTCCATCAGACCCAACTCCTGCTGAGGACTCTAGGAGTCCCAAGCGAGTCCTCGTCTTTAACACCGGTTTAAATTATAGATACATGTGTGCGCACGCGCGAGCACGCGATGCTTGGATAATTATTTAATTTACTCATTCTCTATGTGCAGAGGTACATGGATTCAGAAATTCGTGCCATCATGGCACAATACATGCCATTGGACAATCAAGGAGAAATACCCAACCACATGCATCAAGATATTTAGGATTAAGAGAGATGGGGAGAATATTTGTAGCAGTCACTGCCTAATCTCTGTGTGACCCATGGATCAGATGAGAAGCTGATCCAATCGCACTTATCTCGTGAATTCCTTTGCCCTCTCTTCTCATGTTGATATTCTCTTGAATTTTATTAGTAACTTTTCTTCTTTAACTACCAGAGAAAGAACCATGTAGAAAGTTTAATTTATTCCCTTTTGTGCTATTCATTTCGTCTCTTTATTTTAGCTTTTGGATGATGCATCGATTTGAAGGGGTGCCATGACTGTTAGCTGCTCAGAAATATGAAGTATGTAAAATATTGGGTGAGCCATCCGGCGTGTATTACAAGAGCGTTTTGAGCTGGCCGGATGGCACAAATTCAATATGAGCACAACTGGATGAGCGTTTCGAGCTAGCCGGTTGGCTCAAATTCAATGTGAATACTCCTGGAAGAGCATTTCAAGCTGGCTGGATGGCTCAGATTCAATAGGAGCACACCCGAATGCATGTGGGCTTTTCTATTTTATTTTATTTTATTTTCCTTCTTTAAAGCCTTTTGAGCTGAAATTCAAGGATGGGTTTGCAAAATAAAAAGGTTAATATATTGTATACAAAATAAAAAGTGGAAATGGTGGAAATGCCCCTCCCTGGGCCAAGAAAAAGAAAGAAAAACAGAGCTCCAAGAATGTTTTCCTAGATGGAATTTTTTTTTTTGGGTTATTGAGGATGAACCTGTTGCCTTTCAAAGGGAAAGAAAAAGAGATTTCTCTGGGCTGAATATTTGTGAACCATTTTTTTATATGAAAAAGTAAACAATATAAAAAAAAGGAATATTGATTTTAAGTATCGAAGGTATAATATCCGTTGTCCATCAAATTGTTGCTTTTCGTTCGTTGAAAATGGCACTCAATTCATTCTTTTTATCCAAATTTTCTCTTTATTTTGATATTAACATATGCTTTCAAAAGTTGCTTATTAGGCGTATATAATCTTTTACTATTCAAGCCTATTGGTTTAGTGGTTCATTTATCTCTTGTACATATAGGTTATAAGTATTTTTGTCTTTTAAATTTCAAATTTAAAATTCAAATTGGGTTTTTGAATGGATGCAAAGTTTTAAAAAAAAAATTTCTGGGATTTTGTGATTTTGACGGTAGCGGATAGGTATGCTTGCAATATGACTTGCAACCCATGCGGCTTCTTGTTATTATGCACTGCTCATGCTACGACCCGGCTTTGCCTACGCTTTTAGCTTTAGTATAGTATACCTGAGGCACAAGGCCACTTCAAGACATCCAATTTGATATTAATTAGTGGAAATGATGATGATTTTTACATACAAAAGATCTCTTTATGGACTACATCCAATTTGATATTAATTAATGGGAATGATGATGACTTCTACATGCAAAAGATCTCTTTATAGACTCGTTAGTTTATATGATATTTTACTAAACGATGAATAACTTTTGTAAGCTACTAGGCTTATGGCTGCCATACAAGTCCGGCTCCAAAATTCATATTCACAGCTCAAACCTTAAGGGAACTTTTTTGGGCTGAAATTTAGTAATAAGGGTGTTTTTGAGTTTTTTTTAGCAATATATATATTTTTTAGAAAGAAACACACTTGTTTTTGTTTCTTTTGACTTTATGATCTTATCACATTTGAAAATCATGGTGAAGCATAGTTACCTTCTTATAGTCCTCGAAGCTAAGGACTATCAAGAATTTTCCCTTGAATCTCTAGAAAGCACAAGTAGATGTTTTTTTTTGACAAAATTTAAAATTTATTAATAATAGATGCAACTTACATCAGGGAATCTACATTATCGGAGATCACAAGAGAATCCAAATCCATATCATTTGCCTCCCTTTACACATGTGCTAGGGATACAGTCAAAGATTACATCAAATCAAAGATTTGCAAACCAATTAATTTAATTTGCCAAGAGAAATGTTGATCAGCTTACATCATTTAATAACATTCAACGAATCCCCTTCAATAATGAATCCACTTACAAAATTTCTGGTCACTAATAATTTCAAACCATTGAAGATAGCAAGTAATTCAGCATGGTTGGCTGTAGTAACTCCAAACGGGTCAGTATATGCAACTATTACATTTCCTTGCCAATCATGGACCACTCCACTAAAATGTACCCTCTCATCCCTTCTGTCATCTCTTTTGCTACTTTTCTACATTAAATTTGGCATCGGCTATTACTCTTTTACCACATGAGGTAAAAGTGGGATGCGAAGGGGATATCCTGATGTGCTATAAGGAAAATTGTTGATGTCAAATTTCTTGTAAAAATGTGAGAAAAAAAAGGATGATTCTTTCTTGTCACATGCCATACTTTTATATTTCTCTTTTTTTAAAATTTTTTTCTGAATGGCTCTAGCTGTAAATCATTTCTTTCTAAATCCATAGTTTAATATATATTTTTTCATCTTATTTGGACTTTTAATGCTGTTTTTAATTCAATTTGATATGTATTATTTCCATTTATTTTTATTTTTTAGGGTTTTTTCTTTTTTGCCTAATACACTACCCAAGACACCCAAGTTACTCGGTTTGTCTCGTGCAGGACCGAGCCTCTAGCCGAGTTCCTGAACAATGAGTTGGGCTGATCTATTTTTCTCAAATAATTTCTCCACATCGTTATTTTGCCTAGTTCTCCACTACCATATAGTATATCGTATATCGTTTATAAGCATCCTTGATCCTTGCAGTTGAGTTAATTGGACATGAAGATACATCATAGGCACTTTATTCTTCTTCTTTTTTTCTTCCTCTTTTTATTTATTTTATTTTATTTTATTTTATTTATTATTATTTTTTCTGTAATTTAGTGGGGGCTTTTTTTCAAGTAGATTAAGAGTTAGTTTCTTTCTTTTTTTAAGGTTTTTTAAGGTATTAGTAGGTGTGACTAGAGTGTAGAGTGCTACCTCCAGGACCCGAGCCCCTTTCCCACATCATAAGCTTTTAAGTTACTAAAGTTCATACCATAACAATTTAAATTTAGGGGGAATATATCATATCTCCCAATAATAAAATGGAGGAAGAGGATTTAAGAATGTCAACTATTCAAAAGTTTAAAAATAAAATAAATTATGGTTTAAATAATGTACAAGTATTATATTAAGTTACGGGTGAGGCTTGTATAAGATGTCAACTTTAAACAGTTATTGTAAGGTACACCTCAAAATCTCACTAAAAGATGCATTTTCGGTGCTGAAATTCTCATCATGACCCAAGAGTCTAATTTTCACCTCTATTATGAATTTGAAAGTTCCAAAAAAGGTGTAGATCTAGTAGATCTATGAACACTTGAAAATCTTAAAAATAGATGGTCCAGATAATGTATTACAATATGTACTATTTTTAAGACTTAAAATTCATTTTTTATTGTATATCCATACATATCAAGGTCAAGATGATCAATTAGATAATGTTCTAATGACAAAACAACATATGGTTTTTAAGGTGCACCTTACCTCAACACTTAGGGTTGACACCTTATTTAAACTTTTTCCTTATTTTCTCTTATATTCACTTTGGATTTAATGTGCCCAATATATTTCGTCTCTAGTTAACTAATCTAACAATACTATTTTACGAGTTACTAAACTAATCTAATAATAATAGTTGAGTAATTACGATACTATTACGATGCCAGTCTTGGAAATATGATAATTTAGTCCAAAAGTAATTTTTATTTTTAAAAATTATAGCCAAATTCTTGAATAGATAAGGTTTGCTTTTAAATGACACAGACAAATATCTATAGTAACTTGAATAAATAAGGCTGGGTTAATTGAATGAACTTCCAGGTTCCCAGCTGGAGACCTAACACAATATAGTTTCTCTAGTATCCTAACACGATAGAAAACAACAAGAAATTCCATTGTTTCAGCTTTCTTACTTTTAGTATGCGGATTAGAAGATTGGAATCTTCATGCCACCCTATATGTTTTAAAATATTTCTTCTATTAAGACATAGAACGCAAATAAATACACTACCAAGCATTTAAAGAGTTTATCAATTACCTCCAATGACTCAAAAACAATAAGTTAGCTTCATCACTTCTTCCATTTGCTATGGATATCAAACATCACAACAAGCATCACTCATGCCAATTACTGTAAAAAACATAGAAACAGCGTAGTGAAAAATATATTTTGATTGGATGACCGAAATCACACCAAATGCATTGAGAAAATATGCAGTAACCAGACCAAAGAAGATGCAATTTTCATAGAGAAAGTATACAATAGAAATTGGGAAATCAATGGCTTTGGGAGTGTGGGGATATCACACCAATTTCATCTCTGATAACTTGGGGAGTGTTAGTGACCTTCCCAAAAATGACAGTCTCATTCTTTACAATCCCATATTTCTTATATTATTTTATTGGAATCTCCAATATAACCGTAATAAAAACATGAAGACATCTCTTTAAGTACATTTGTTTGAAATTCCACATAGAGAACATGTATGATGCAATGAAGAGGGAAAGTATTATATGGTAGCACTTTGGGTGTGTTACAGTTGGCTAGCACCTCCATAGCCGTTCGATATGAACAACAAATTGTTGGGGTTGGATCAAAATTATCATCAGTTTCCTAAGATCAATGAAATTACTTCTCTCCGATTCTATCTCCTTAAAACATCTCTCTCTAAAACTTCTCTCCACCATTGGGAACCCTTCACCCATCTCTCAAAGAACTCTTTCCTCAAGAGTTAAAGATCTCGATCTCTCTCCATAAATCACTTATCTCATCATCCTAATGGAGATGGCTTCACATTTGCTTTTCTTGATGAACTTAAAAAAGCGCACACACACATACTGTGTGAGAGAGAGAGGTTTCTCAATGGCCTTTTCGAAGTATTTTTTAGGTGGTTAAACAAGATGTAGTGCTGTGCTAATGATGGAAAAGCAAGATCACCGAATCGAACCTTCATTACATTAGTTCCTTAAAAACAGGGGTGAAAAACCTCTTAAGGATACGAGATCGATCTGCTTATTAGAATTTACTATTTCCAAACTTTTGAAAATTAGAATGCCCTTATAAATTCAAAAAAAAAAAAATTGAACCATAAATAGTTCATATATTTTAAAAAGGGTAGTTTTATCCTTTCAAAACCCATCCAAAACTCGATTTCAAATTTTAAAAGTTACCTTTGATTTTTTTAATGATAATTAATATTTATAAGTACTTTAAAATTACAAGTATGCTCTGTTAGAGATATTCAAACAAGTTATTGATGTAGTTTTTAGATTTGTAAGGGCATTCGATTATTAAACTTTCCGAGGTATGACATTCTAAATTAAAACTTCACCATTAGCGTGGTCATCTTATAACCCACATGTCCAATACACATGTAAGGCAAGTGTTTATAGGGTGACAACTCAATATAGTCACACCTCAAATCTCTGCAATTACAACACAAAAGAACTGCGACAATCATGGATCCAAAAAAAAAATTAAATTTCAAACCCTTGAAATGGTCTATATTCACTTTAGCACAGTTTTTGCACTATCCAGATCAACTATGTCTTGACCATTTTGGAGCTCCAAATCCCAGTGGCAAAATAAATTGAAATTGCATTTTCAAGCAGGGTCATGAGGCATTGTTTTACCAAATATCATAAAACCACGGTCCTACAAAAACAGCATCCATGCATGAATATGTATTCTGTATGCAAGAGCCCAAGAGTTTGTTTTTGCAAGTGTATTCGGTTCAGTTAAACAGGTTGTTAATAGGACCTTAAGATAGGAGCTCAGAGAGTGAGAGAGATCAGCCCGTGTGAACCAATAATATTTCGTAGTCCAGATCTCCTGTTACATAAACTCAAGATTCAAAACCGGCCAATATGATCGGAAGCTAATCGGTGTGATCAAACGAACAAATCCATACTAATAGCAAAATAAATGGACAGAGAACAAAATAAAGAAAATCACATAAATGCTTACAAGTACTGAACAAATTCATTAGACAAAAGGGTCAAAAATACAAGGTAAACTTCTCCACTGGTCTTATTGGCTCGCCTTTCTACACTGACCCCTGGGCCTCTCTTTTGGCTCCATACAAAAGAGAAAAACCAAAGCCTTCAAATTCAAGCAAAATCTGTTCATCGTGTGAAAAAAAGCACAGCATTAGTTGATCATGACAGCGTTTGGGAAATCACCATGCCGACTTGGGACTCACCCAAGCTGATAGACCCTGGAATCCCCCAAGTCGCCTGGTTTTCTTTTTAGTGTTGAATATTTCTTATTAAAGTTGCCTGGTCCATCTCGGATACGCAGAAGTTGGACAAGAGGGACTAGGGCTTTGGCCCCTAGCAAGAAGGATCTGAAGTCCAACTTTTTAAACAATGAATCAAATTAAGTAAAATTGATAGAGAGAGAGAGAGGTGTTCATCAGACAAAGAATGAGAGAGAGAGAGAGGAAAATGTTTGCCAGACAGAATGAAAGTGAGAGAGGAAAATGTTCATCAGACAGAGAAATGCTAACCTACACTCGACACACTAATCCTTCACTGGCCATCAACAGAAGGACCTCATTTAGGACTTTCAATGGTGGGACCTGGTTTAGTGGGGCTTGAACCTTTCTCTTGGCTGTGTAGGTAGATCCTATACAAATAGAAAGCCACCATTGAACCACTGCATAGGAAAACCAGAGTAATTATCAGACAAACAAGAACTGCATAATCTGATAAACAAGCAGTCTTAATGTATCTTGTCAGTAATACAGAACTCCGCAGAAATTGTGTTTTCTTTTCAAATCGGAACCTAAAGCAGAGAATAAATACCTGACAAGGGACATAATGAATGTTAGGAATGATGGACTCTGCAAGAATACAAACACATAATGAGACTATACGGATTTCAGTGGAAACTTGCAAGAGCACATCTTAAATGTACGATATAGCGTCTGAACGTAGTATCCTATGAATACGTACAACAACATTCTTCTTCTAAAAGGAATGAAGGTTTTCAAAGACCTTTTTAAAGCAAATGCGTCATGACCTTTTTGAAGTAAACAAAAAAACATAGTTAACAGCTTAAAAAAAAATATAGAGAGTTTATAGCACAACAATAACAGTTTTGAGGGGATCAAGTGGGGATTTGAGATGATATTCAACCCTAAGTTTGTTTGCACTCCAAAATAAACTTCTTTATGTTTCGAAAACGAATTATTAACATTCAGATACATAGTTTAGTCATAATGAAAGGTTAAACTTAAAAGCTTAGGACAAAGTAGTAATGGCGGGTGGCTAACCTCGACCAACTGGTTACAATTAGTATATATTATACTCCAAAGAAACTCAACAAGTCAACATATATCGCAAATAAGAAAATATTCTAGACGCAGTACATGGCAGAGACAAGTCCAGTATTTCAGCCATATTATGGGGGTTGGACATGTAGTATCGTAATGCGTGGACACTTTGATTCTCATATTTACTGGAAACGAACAATGAAGTACTTAAAAAAAAAAACACAAAATAAAAGAAAAGCAGAAAGAGAGGGTAAAAAACAATGTACCTTTCAAAAGTTAAATTAACAAATTAATGAAAAAGGAGAAGTCAGGAAGGAAATTAAGGTTTGAAAACTCTAACAGAATTCTGAAAAACACTTGATGGGCCAAGAAGCATCCTCTCTAGAGAAATGAGCATTGGAATTCACAAAATTGGATGTGAATTTTCTTCAGATAATGAGGTAGCTATACCATTTTCTTTTTACTTAAGATTTAAATTTCATGGTTGGATGCAAGTTGCAACTTGCATCAACACACACACCCTTCATGGTTGGATGCAAGCATACATTATACATAAAAACACACACAAATCATGGTTGGATCCCCTTCATAGTTGGATGCAAGTTGCAAGTTGCAACTTACATCAACACACACATCCTTCATGGTCGGATGCAAGCTTACATAAAAAAAACAAACATGCACATGCACACGCACATGCACACGCACACGCACACGCACACGCACACGCACACGCACACGCATGCACACACACATAGGAGTTCTTTCTTCTATTCATTTTCTTGTTCATGAGAGAGGAAAATGTTTGTATCACGACATTGTCAACAACTCAGAGAAATCATCAATACAGATAAATGAGAAGTGATCAATAGTACAAGGTAAACCAAAAGAACTTATCATGATAACCACAACTGCAATTGATACCGGCACATGGGCAACTCAAAACTGGAGAAGCCTAGCATACAAGTAATATGATATAATGGCACTCAAGAATGAAAAATCAAGAAGATTTTGTTCTTACCTGACATAGCAGACGAATCTCCCTCAAGAAGATCAGAAGTGCAATTGCTACAACGCATCAACAAGGAATATACTATAAGTAACTTTTTTCAAGATTTTATATAAAAAGCAGGTCAAACTTTCAACAGCAACCCCAACTTTTTCTTATCTCTCCTCCTCCCCCTCGCACCCAAGGAAAAAAAATTGCAATTAGGATAGAAAGACCTATACTAATAAGAAATTCACAGCGTGCTTACCAGTTTGAAGAAAGAAAGCAATAAAAACATCATATAACAAAATCTAGAAAAACTTCATGTAAATCAACAATTGGGATTAAAGCAGCAATTCCTCTTTATAGTCAAAGTGTACTTGCTCAACAGAGTGATATGTCTGGTTAGGTGCAACTGGGGAATAGCTGCACTATGAAGATTATAATAACTTATTCATTTACTAGCGGCAATGTGTCATTTATTCTTAAATTGATGTAATGCTCTAATAGTGGTTTTATATCCACCCAACCCCATCTCTGTGATAAATATGTAGGAGTGCCAGCTTAATGACATTTTTTGGATTCCAAATGCATTTGTGCCACTATACAGAAAAGTTTTCATTGAAGCCATTTAATGACATTCATCAAGAGTAGAGGCAAAATTGTCCGAAAAGGACAAGGATATTTGTGGGTTTACTGCAAGCATATATTTGTAATTCAAAATGCAACTGGAATACAATATTCCAAGGAAATAAGAAATTCCCGGCATGCTTTGATAGTTTTCCGCAATAATAATATAAGATGCAAATGCTAGAGATAAAAATGGTTTAGAAAAGGCTCTATAAATTATCAGCTAGGATTTGATAGGCCATTGAAATAATAATCTATGAATCATAAAAGCCTGTGAAGAGAATCAATACACTTAGCCCCAATTCTCAAATATGCATGATTCAGAACCATGTGAACCACAAAATTAGCCTTTACAATATTCTCTAATCATATGAGCTGCCTAAATCATATCTAAAACATTGGGCTATCAAGCACAACAATCTCGTCAAATTAGTCCATATGATTTTGCTTTTGCATGTGCTCCTGGAATAAGTGGTTGTCAATAGACACTGAGGACCAAAAAAATTAACATGATAGAAGTTACCTATTTAAAACTACTCAATCAAACTGCATGCCTGACGTCAGCAAGTTACCGTTACAGATATATAAGGACAAAAATATGCAGCACTTGAAAATCTCTCCTTTTTCAAGCTAAACTCTATACCTAGGAAAAAAAGTGAATTACACAATGAACTAACAATAATTCGAACACAATCAGTTAAAAGATCACAAGTGTGATTCGAGGAAACAAAAGAAAACAAAAATGTATAGCTTTTGCATTCCGCGACTAAATTTGATTCCCAAATTTTCGAACACTTGATATTAGAGGGAAATACTAACCAGACTGTCCTTTCAGAAATAAAGAAGATGACTCTTTTCGGTTCCATGCCCTCAAACTCAATATACTTAAAGCCAAGAGTGCTCCACCAAGAATCACACCAAAACGAATAGCAGGAATACTACCAGAAATCATAAAGGATAAGAAACCCCCAAGAAATAGAAATGCACCTGCATAAAATGAATAGTTTCATAATAAGAAATTGCCAGGATGAGAAATTGAGGTAAGCCAATGTATACTACAGACAATATAATAGATATGTCTTTTGCAAATTGTAGTTAACTTAATTAGTTGCTAACTGTACCATAAGGAATGCCAAAATAAAAATCACGAGCATCTGAAATTTTCTTCATTTCAGTTACTGGATGGGAGGAATAAGTTTCTACAACATCCTTCAAAGGTTCGGGCACATCCTTCAGTGCTTTAAGAAAATATTCGCTGCTCTCTGCACGGGTTTCTTCTGACATTAATGCCAAATCTCTCGATGCTTTCTCTGCTTTGATCATCAATTGTTCTGCTGTATCCTTCAAAACCACCTTGGTTTTTTGCATATATGCCTCGTATGCTTCCTTTGATATGCCTTGCATCTTTATGGCCTCTTGTTTGATAGACTCTAATGTTTGTTTCCATTTTTCTTCTGACTTAGATTGTTTCTCCACATCTATCTTTGAATGATCCTGAGTAAAACATTCATAATCCCAATTTTCAACATAAACACAGAAACCAGATGAAAAACAAAATCTTTGTAAAACGAAAAAATGCACTTCCGGTTATATGCGTACAGCCATTCATATCCCAAACAAGAAATTTCATGCTGTGATGATGTCAAAACTAGCACAAGCCAGTTTGATTCCACCAGGAATCAACTCATAAAATAAAATAAAAGACCTACTAGGAATCAAGAAATATGCGCAAGATACCTATACATCTGTGGTTTAAAAATAGAAAGTGGAACATTCCCAAGGAACTGGAATCTCCTTTCGACTAGTAAAACAAAGAGCAAAATACTTCAAACCCAGGATTATAAGGAGTAAACCAGCTAGCTTATCTTAAAACCCAGAAAACAAAGAAAACAGATCAGAAACAGTGTTGGACCCTGGTCTGATTGTTCTATCTTTTAATTTTAAACAACTTGTTCTATACCTATTTCTAAATAATTGTCATCACTAAAAGGACAGAAGAAAAGAACTACCATGGTCTTGCCAAGAGTCATCTATTTATCATAAAAAATGCAAAATAACCTTTAATCTCTCTGTGTGTAACCCAAAGTGCATTCATGGTCTTTTCTGTTATCTTTTGACTAAATTAAGCCTTTTTGGTCATTTTTCTTACTCATAGCTTGCTTATATATTAAACATACTCCTCCAAAAACGTAAAAATATGATTGATCTTAGATAACTTTTAAGCAACTTCCCATACCCTAATAAACACCAAGATCACAATGGTCAAGCAAGTTGGGCCATGACCACCCATAAAACTTGTAATCAACATGAAATAATCCTCACTCATCTAATTTCATAGTATAGCTTGTAACTCTTAACCTACTTCCCATAACCTAATAAAACACATATGTTCATCATCAACAATTTAATTGAACCTCGACACCACTCCCAGAGAGAAAGAGAGAGATTGAGAGATTGAGAATGCGTTTCCAAGAAATTTTACTATCTTGAGAAATGCTATTATCTTGGAGAATGCTAGTTTTTAATTCTCTATATTTAACCAGAAAGAATTCAGTTCAGATGGAGGATAACTACATATTAATCTTTTTTATATTTTTTATTTATAGATGTAAACTCAACTCGACACAGGTCAGGGTCGGGTCTAGGTCGAACTTAGACCCAGGTGGTTGAGTGCGGGTCAACCTGACCCATTCCCAATCCTAATTTTGTTGAGATTTTTAAAATTAAATAAAAAGAGAAGGGTAAAATGTTGAGTAACTCATCTCTTAGATGCATCTTGATAATTTTTTCTAAAAATATCATAGCCATTTTTGTACACTCACTTTTCAAGGAAAGAGAATTGTGCTCTCTAATTTATTTTGTGCATCTTCTTTATTTTTGTGTCTTCCCTATCTGCTCCATGTACACATTTATTTTTATTTAGTTTTAACAATGGTTATCTTTTTGTTTAGTTTTAGGAAAATTTGCGCTAATATCCCCCATCTTTTTCGGATTTAAGAATCTATCCCTCATGTGGTAACTTATTCTTAAGTCCCCATTTTTCACTTTTTTTTTCCAAGATGCCAATTGTTTGCACTATCATAATCCGAACCGAAACTCTTGCGTTTTGTTAGCCAACCAGTTTGGATTTTGAAAATCCAAATTTGTTTATTTGAATTTTGGGTTCGAAAATTTCAATAGCCAAACCCACCCTCTCACCCCACAACCACCCTTTAAACACATTCATGGGTGAGAAGATGGGTTAGGATTTTGAAATTCTGAACTCAAAAATTCAAGTAAACCTGTTCAGAATTGCAAAATACGAACCGATTGGTTAAAAATACATAATAGTTTCGGTTCAGACTTTGAAAGTCCAAACCGATAGCATTTTGAAAAAAGAAGAGAAAAAAATGGAAAAACGGGGATGCAAGCATACATTACAACATATGGAGATAGATGTTTAAATAAGGAAAAGATAGGGGATATTAGCATAAATTTCCCTTAGTTTTATACATCTAACTTGGCTTGTGGACATTTCCCAAGGAGATATCAAATGGTATTTGGATTACAATTGTAGTACACCACAGGAGCATCATCCATTAAATCCTAGTAACAGACAGTGGAGATTAGCCACATCCAGGTGCATGTCCTCCAACAGAAATAAAATTAATCTCCATCACCGAGCATTGGGAATGATGGTGAATGTCAGGGTGTACTAAAGCATACAAGACAAGTAGTGGCGTACAAAATACTTCTCACTGTCAAAGAGAGCACTTATACTATGCTCCGAAGGGAGCAAAGTTTACTTGTACTCCCTTGGTCAAAAGACCTGCTTGGAAGGATTTTTCAATCCGAACTTTTGGGAAACACTTAAGAATTAGTAGATGATTATTCTAAAAAAAGAAAATTTGGAATTTGAGTTTTCTAACTCTTAGATCTCACCATCTAAAAATTGGATGGTTCTATTCAATCTCCAGACATGATTCTTTTTCAAGGGCATATGGGTATAATTAGGAAAAAAATTTATTGAAAATTAATCTATGGATTTAAGAGATTCTATCCTCAAAATTTGGTATCCTAAACTTAATTATAGGTGTGATTCTACACGAGGGAGTACATGGACAATGTACTCCTGTGGGAGTATAATATCTGTAGGCAAAGAAGAATACATGAAAATGAGCACGTACAGGTGTATACCATGCTCCCTCTACTCCATCACTCAGAAGACCTAATTGGGAGTTTTTTTTTGGGAACCACTTAAGGATCACTAGATAACTATTTTAAAAAAATTGAAAATTAAATTTTCTATCACAAAATTGAATTTTTAACACTTATCATCTAAAAATTGGATGGTCTCTATTGAACCTCGAGACATTATTTTCTGAGTGTGGTTTGTTTAGGGTTGAGGTTCTAAACAATTAAAGTAAGACGCACCTTCAAATATCGCTGCAAGATGTTGTTTCAATATTAGAAATATTTGTGATGACCTGAAAATTTATTTTCATCTCTAATTATTAAAATTTAAAAACTTCAAAAATAGTGAGAACTGTAAATCGAGCAGATCTATGGATACTTGAAAATCTTGAAAATTGAAAATCCAGAAAATGCATTACAAGATGCACTATTTCCAATACTTGAAATCCATTTTTTCTCATGTCCACCATACATCTTGAGGTAGAGATGATCGATTTGAGGAGTTTTGGGGGCATTAAAACATCCTCCTCTAATGAATTTTTGAGGTGGGCCATAATTTGATTGTTTAGGGCCTGGTTCTTGCGTAAATTTTTTCCTTATTTGTTTAACTTTTTCATGAGCCTAGAGGATATAGTTAGGAAATAATTTTTATTAAGGCTAATCTATGGATCGAAGAGGTTACATCCCTAAAATTTGGGGTTCTAAAATTAATTCTGGGAAGGGTTTCACTCCAGGGAGTAAATGGCCGTTATACTCATGGCTTTCACAAAGCCCAGACCATTTTTGTCATTTAATAAAAACATTGGGTCGTTCTGGTAATTTCCTTGAATAACAGGAATTTAACAATTACGAACTATTCAAATAAAAAGATTCAAAATTTAAAAAAGAAAAAGAAAAAGAAGACAGAGAGAGACGATAGCATGCGTGTGTGTGGAAAGAAACAAGGAACCCCACCATCTCTCTCAAATAAGGAACCATGCCTCTCTCTTTCTCTCTCTACAAAGAAATAAGGAACCACGGTCCTCTCTCTGAGCAATCCAAATAACACAAAAGAAATCACAATAGAAAACTAGTTTTAACATATATCATCCAAATCCTAAAAAATGAAAAAAAAAATAGAGTACAATATTCAGAGAAAAGAAAAGCATTAATGCAGTTAAAATCGAGTTACCGATTCTTCATGAGAGGCAGCAGCCACTATTCCTTGCCTTCGAGCAGCGATTAATCGCTGATTAAGTAAAATTAATCCGCCTCTAATCAGTCTTGCAGAGGAGAAACCAGCATCTTTTGCAAACTTCTGAGCATTAATGCTTCCGAAACAAGAAGATGAAACTAAGGAACAATGAGCGTTCACCGTTGAAGGCCGTTTTATGAGAAAATTAGGGCTTTTGTGGGGCTCAACAAGGAGCTTCGGTATTTTTTGGGAGCACCAAGGGGAATTGGGGCTTCGATAAGGGGTTAGGGTTTCGAGAGCCATTGTTGGCTGCCTCAAATGGATATTAGGGTTTCTGTGAGGTTCTAGACTGGCATTTACGCTTGGATTTCCGCGAAAAATTAGGGTTTCGAGAGCAGGCATGGCTCTGAAGTGAGCAGTTGCAGAAGTTGAGAGACAGAGAGAAATGGTGATACTAACGAGAAGTGTTATTTTCTACCTCGGATTTATAAGTGAGAGAGAGAGATTTGAAGCCTGGTATGAAAGCAAGGGATAAAATGTATAAGAAGACTCTGGGGCTTAAACATTGAGTGCTGAGAAATGGCAAAATTGCCCTAGGATTTCCAACCAGAAAAGTACTCTAGAAGGCATCAATATAACTATTATTCATGAAAAATGGCAAAAGCATATGGGATTGTCAATAAAGAGCCTACTTATTTTATTTTATTTTGTACATAAGTCACGGCTTTTTGTTTCCTTAAAATTTCAAATTCGGTGGTCGTTGTAAGGCAGGAATCGAATAGACACAAAGTTTCAAAAATAAATTTTGGATTTTATGATTTACCCCAAGCCATCTGATTTAATATCTAATATTGAGTAAGAAGAGTCGTGACTTCTATGTACACAAGACAAATTTATCTTTCTGACGAAAATGTAGCAAGTATTATTACCCAACAAATGTTAAATTGGATGGCTTAAAGAATTTTTTTTTTCAATATTTGAGTTTAGTTATTGACATTCTCACGACCGCTTAATTTAAAATGTAACGTACAAGAGTCATTATGAGTTTTTGATAGGTGTGGGTTCTATAAGGATACAACCTTAAACAATCCAATTAAAACGTACCTCCAAATTTTATCATAACATGTAATTTTGATGCAAATTTTTTTTAAGAATATCTCAAAATCTATTTTTATATCTAATTATACAATTTTAAAGAGAAATTATCATAAATATATCTTAATTTTTGTTTAATTAAAAAAAAACTATCAATTTTCATAAACCTCATCTACACACTTTTTCCTCAATTTTGACATTTTTTTTACGAAAATAGCTTTCACAGTAGTCGTATTACCGTAATGACTATCGCATTACAATACTTTATGATAGGGTTTTCACCGTAATACAACTACCATTAAGGCTATTTTGGTAATACCAAAATTTAAAAAAAAAAGGGTTTGGATGAGGTTTTTGAAAATTGACGGTTTTTTTTTTTAATTAATAAAAAATTAAGGTATATTTTTTATAATTTTCCAATTTAAAACTCCAAAAATTTGTAAAATCAAGTAGATCTATAAGCATATGAAAATCTTAAAAATGGACGGTCTAGATAATGTGTTGCAAGATCCACTATTTTTAAGAATCAAAATTTTCATATTCATACATTTCAATGTCGAGGATCAATTAGAGAATTTTCAAAGCAACTTTTCCAATGGATTTTTGAGATGTATTTTTAATATTACATTTTAAGGTTTTTCCCTTTTTTATATTAAAAATAAATAATTTCTTTGTATAAGTTTTTCAAATGATAAAATATCAACCATTTCCTGACGTGTTAACGGTGGGAATAGAGCCTAGGACGTTGAGGTCCCTTTCCCTTTAACCCATTCCCATATAATAGAGACCGCTAATGCCTCAACCGCACTCCCATAAAACACAGACCGCTAATGCCCCCCACCCCATTCCCATATAACACAGAAGTAAGGTGTAAATAAGAAACCTACCAAAACGGTACCTTTTATGTTCAAAAACTCTAAAATCGATTATCTTAGCCTCGAGAAGACGGTAGCTTTTATGTTCAAAAACTCTAAAATCGATTATCTTAGCCTCGAGAATCGTGGACATGAAGGGTTTTAGTTTTAAAAAATTTGTTTTTATATCATATTATCTGGGCCATCAATTTTCAAGAGTTTTAAGCATTTGTAAATCCGTTTGATTTAGACCATTTTTGGAACTTTAAAATTGGAACCAATAGTAAATTTTCTAGCCATCACAAGGAGTTCCAACACAGAAATTGCTTTGCCTTACTTTAAGATTGACACCTTATATAAAATGCATCCACATTTACAAAATTAAGCTACCTCTAGTGTAAATTATTAAAAATCTATATAACATACTCCCTGCCTCCCTCCCTCTCTTTTTGCTCTCTCTCATTTTGTTTTTCAAGAAAAAGGACAACCTCCCTTTCTAAACTCATAATCCCACTCTAATCATAATTACAAATAAACCCTAGTCTATGAAATGTTTATGGACCTCCTCCAAGTTAAAAAAAAATGACGTTAAAATAACAATCTCAAATTTCATTTATATAATGGGGGGATTTATTAAAAAAAAAAATGTTGAGAAAATCTTGTAATTTTGACAATAAAAAATATAAAACATAATTTAAATATTTTTTTCCTCTAACTTGAAGGGGGTTTATGGGATTTTCATAATCTTGAAGGGTTATTTGAAATCATACATGCACCCCTTTTCCCAAAGAAAAACTATATTGCAAGTTTGCAACCATATGATCAACACGCATATTTTGAAAGCCTTAAGGGTACTTTGTCGCAACATGAAAAGTATTTTCGGTGTTCTAAGCATGAACGAAGAAAGAGGTGGTAGGTGCTTTTAACATTCATAAAACAAAGGATGTCGGTAAGGCATAAATTTGAGGAAAAATTACAACAACAACCAAAAAAAAAAAAAACCAAAAACTACACTTTTTATGAAACTTACCTCTAACCTAAATTTTTTTCTCACTTTTTTCCTTAAAATACATTTTCTATACAAATATTCCCCAACCAAATAATAAAAAATTGCCTAAACTACCCTCCCTTACTTTTATGTTACCTACGCCCTCTCTCTTCTATCCCACCAAAATAGGGGCTAACCTATCCTCTCTCTTCTATCCCACCAAAATAAGGGCTCAAGTACTGTATAAGTGCGGTCCGGCAATAGGGCCACTAGGGCTTTGGCACTATGTAAAGTAGGGTCCGACAGTAGGGCTCCGATACTATGTAAAGTGCGGTTCGATAGTAGGATTTCGACGTTGTGTAAAGTGCGGTTCGACAGTAGATGTTACTAGATTTCAAGGCTTCAGCACTATATAAAGGGCAATCCGACAATACTCAGTTTTGGTCTAGTAGTTGTCTTGGGACGGTCTAGCACTTGTGCGCTCCGGCACTGTGATGGTATGCTCTTAGGACGATTTGTCACTTGTGCGCTCCGGCACTATGATGGTGCGTTCCAGCAATATGCTACTGGTCCAAAAGCCAACGTCGAATCTGGCCAAAGTGATTTTAGTATACAAGAAGGGCATTTCCATCTAATAAAAATTAACTTTTTCTCTTAGGAGATATTTGCACAAAAAGTTTATTTTAGGGCAAAAAATGAGAAAAAAAGTTAGGTTGGAGGTAAGTTACCATGATCTTGAGGGATTTTTGTAATTTTCTTTAAATTTAAAGCTCCAAAAAATGGTTTAGATTTGATGGAACTGAGTACTTAAAATGTAGGGTATAAAAAACCTATACCCGATGCCATGATTGTCAAGGTTAAAATGATCTAATTGCATGACATTTGCTAGTAATTTTCGATATACAACTTATAAAACCACGGCCCTACAAAATACTTTTCATTCTGGGTTTACCACCTTGTAGCCCCTAGACAAGGGTGGCCCGTAAGTCTATAAATGTAGGGGATCTTCCTATGATCATATAGCCTATTATTATTTTTAAAGGATTTATATGACCCACTACGGCATGATTGTAGGTACAAGTGTGACTAGTCTTACCAGTTTAGGGTACCTCTACTTGTCCTAATGGTTTTAGGATTTTAACTTACATGTTCATGAGGAAATAGTGGGACTCTCATGTGTATAGATGTAGGGACTACCAACTAGTTATGTTTTTACATTTTAAAGATTGGGCTGGACCGCATTTCTACAATATGCAGTCCCAAGGTATAAAGTATCCATCTTAAAAATGGATGCAAATAGATGTTCCATCTAAAAACTAAATGTTTTCCTCATAAAATCTTTACTTTGATTTATTATTATTATTATTATTATTATTATTATTTTATATTCATAATCTCTTTGTTAGAGATTACATATCCTTAAAAATTGGGTCCGAAAATTCATCTCAAAAATAGATTTTTAAGCGTCTAATCATTTCTACATGGACTCATAAAAACCGTGCCCTTAAAGGTTATAACCTCTCAGTAGAGTAAGGATATCTCTACTTGCCCTTTAATATTGTTAAATTCGAATTTCAATTTATTATTTTGAACTTTCTTTTTCCAAAATGAATATTTACTTTCTCTACACGTTTTTCCTTTCAAATAGAGCTTTGTGATTTTGCATAAAAGTCTCGACAAAAAAATATATTTCAACGTTGTAGAACACTTGGGTACTCAACTTGTTTTTAGGGTTAAGTTTACCCTTTTCGAAGGGAGATGCCGTACTAATTCGGAGAGAGATGGGAAAGCTTTCTTTGTTCCCCCTTCAACATACAAGTTCGATGTTCCCACTTATCCAACCGTCCATCCGTCCATTGTTGAATTGAGGGCTAAGATTGCCCCAATCTTAATGTCACGTCTCTACACTGTTTTATTTTTAATGTTTTTTCAATAAAAATTTTTGACACAAAATTTTGGACGTCCATTCCTATATTAAACTCGCACTAACGAAAAGTATAAAAAAAATATTTTCAATAAATTAAAATGATCAAAATACCCCTGAAAGATTCAAGGGGTATTTTGGTCATTATTTTTTATCAAAAAATTATTGTTAATATTTTTTATAGGTGCGCCCCAATGAGAAGATAGCACGTACCAAATTTCATATTCAAAAAATTTTTACTAAAAAAACTAAAAATAAAATACTTTGTAACGCCGGATCTAAAATCAAACGATGAGTGGCTCTCTTGATAAAAAATGGACGGCTGGATGGTAGGAGGAACATAGAACTTCTAGGTTGTAGGGGGAACATAGAATGTGTCGTGGGAAAAAGTTTATATAAGATTGCAACCTTAAAAATGCAAAAAATAAGGTGCACCTCAAAAAATCCAATAAAAAAAAAATATTTACGAATGTTGGAAAAACCCTCTAAATTGATCATCTCGACATCATGATGTATATATAT